ATATATAAATACTAAATGCTTTAGAAAATTTATAACACAAAAAAAAAAACAATCCAAAAGAAATTACATATTAATCTATTGAAAGTCGTAAACTGTTAACACCGACATGGAATTGCATTTATCATAAACAAATTACAAATTATATTGTTTTATCTTATATGATTTTAAGTGAAACTATGCGACACTTGTTTAATGAACAAGTTACTCTTTAAATTTTAAGTGCCACATTAATCATACTTCGTTACTATCTTCAGCTATTTATGAAAAAAATGTATAATTATTAAATTTGATTTAATATAATGATAAGTTTTAGTTATGTGAAAATTATGTAGCTTCCGAGCCATTTATGTAAATTTCATTTAATTTAGAAAAAAAAATGACTCATGAATTTTATTGACTGATTTCAATTCACGAATTATGAAATGCATTCATACATAATTACATAAATTTTCATCATGTCCAACATGTAGAAATTATAATCCAGTTAAGAATATAATTAAAATTACTTAATAATACGCAATTGGTTAATAAAGCATATTAAACGAAAATCATACATTTAATAAATATTCGGTGTAGTTTATAGTATCTATTATTTGATGTATGATAGATAAAGAGAATAATCAAATTGTCTCACAAATAAATAGAAAATAAATAATACGCGTAATTCTATTATTTTTAAACCTGCTAAATGATCGTTTATATACATGAAGAAGTTTATCTGCTTTTGGAATAAAAGCTAAAAATATTAATTAATCGTCGAAGCATATATTTTGATAACCAACGTTGTACAAAACAAACGACTCTTAAATTTTGAAATTTGACCAATTAATTGCAGTTCTTTCTACAATGTAATAACGTATCGTCATTTACATACAAACTATAAATTAAATAAGAAATGTATTAAAGTGGAGAGAGTATAAAATAAACCATATACGATAGAAATACTGCAAAGAGCTCAAGCAAACATTCTAAGAATGATAACTAGTGCACCCTGGTATATCAGCAATGAAAACATACATTTCCATGTGGAAATGCCGATGGTTAAAGTAGAGTTCGAGAGAATAAGGCAAAAATACGATTTAAATTACCGCTGCTCTATGGGTTAGAGCACCCGGTTGAATAATGGCAAGTTCATGTTGTGTAAAATAATAAATGGCAACATTCTTCCTTCGTATTGTTCATAGCCATATCGACACTGTTACGGACCGATCTCAGCGTTCGCCCAACATTTGGATCTGGCACCTAGATCTTGAATTACCATATTTCGTTTAAGTTGGGACATCGGCAGTGAAAACCCATTTGCTATTAATTACACTCTAAAACAATACCCCTTTTCTGATTTGCAAGTAGGAATTTCAAACTTAATACAGATGAGACTAGTGATTTTTACAATCAATCAATAAATACGGAGAGAGAAAATAGTATTTTGCAGTTTTGTGATTGCAGTTTGTCAAAGAAGGGATGCATTGCCGAGGATTTTAAATGCTTAGATCGAGACAGTATGATATCATGATTATCATATATTTGTCCATAGGTTAATAGTTATTTAATTTCAGTTTGAAACCTCTATAAATTTTTGACTAACTCAAGCTTGTCACTAAAGATTTGAAGATTCAAGAGTACAGGTTGCAGAGGATGTCTCGCTAAAAAAACTAGGCAAAGATTCCAAAGATATTAACGACAATTCAGATATACCACATATACCACTAAAAGAACATAAATATTCATTTCCATTTAAAGATGTTTCGAAAACGGAAAAGATTGGTAAGATTTAAGTCAAATACATAAGCTACAATAGGCCAAGTTTGAGAAACAGATAATGGATTGTCTTCAGTTTTAGCCAAGCTGAAACAATAAAACTAAGGTTTCTAAGTCCTTAGAGAATAATATCGGGAAATATGATTCGAGACCAAAATCACAAATATAAATACTTATATAAAAGTAATTAAAAAGTAAGTATCGTTTGATAAATAAATCGTTGAAATTATATGTATATTCTAACTAATCTTTTTATAGGTCATTTAACAGCACTTGTATTGAAGTGCCGAAAACATATAAAACCGAAATTCTTTTCACTGCTCATAGTAATGTTGTATTAAAAAACAAGCTTAGCAGATCAGTGATCAGTGCTTAATACGTAAAGATTAATTATGATGACAGGCACAAACATGAATATCTACGATTTCAGGTGAGTGAGAAAAAACTGTAAATGAGTCTCTTTATAAATATGATAAATATTTGCAAAATATACAGCACTCGTAAGAACATAGTATTATCTGTTTTACGAGCAACTCGTAGTAAAGTTCGAGCAAACGAGAGCGTAAGGCAAATTAAGTATTATTTTGTGCTCTTAACATAAAATTTCATACAAAAGCTTTGTGTAATTTATGGTGTAAACAACTGTGGATAAACAAGACAACATTTTTAAGCTTAAATTCAAAAAGTTCAAACGTTTTTTTTTATTTGTTGCTTTTTTTGTAATTTCACATTTTATACATATTCCAATTTAATTCTCATTTAAAGCAACAAAATAAAACAACTGAATGTACATTTTATTAGAAAGTAAATGATTTAAGTAGACTGTATATCATTATGGTATTTTGATAGAAATTTTACGTCCCCTCAGGCGCTCTCTTTAGGCTGAAAATTTGCATGTGTAACCCACTTCTGTATATTAATAGTTAGTCGAAGTTATTATGAGTAGCTCGTGAAACTGATCTTATTTAACCTTTATCAGCGTATAATACAATTATACATACACATAGCCAATAAAGACTGCGTACACCTTGCGAATTGATATTTACATGTAGGGACACTTTTATCCCGTTATCTCAAGAATGAACAAACGAATACAATTTTTGTATTTTGCTATTTAAACTTTAGATTTTAAAGAATGTAAAAATTTTAATTTAAAATATTTATGTTGTGTTTCTTTATTACACATCAAAATTCGTAAGGTGTACGCAGACTTTATTGGCTATGTGTATATACCAATGCATATCCAGTACATTTTAATTCTCAACAACAGCTATTATTTCTTCGTTGGAGAGAGTGAAAGAAAGTGAGAGATAGGCAGAGAGCGAAATAGAGGCAGAGAGAGAGAGAGAGAAAGGCAGAGAATGAGAGAATGTCAGAGAGTGAGATGTAAAGAGTGAGAGACAAAAGGATAGAAAGAGGGGAAGGGAGAGGGAAGCTATATGTGGCAAATAGACACAATGTTTTTTTAGCAACATGAGAATTATCTATATCGATACCTATTGTTTGACAGCTGAGAATGTCAAGCTTCTCTTTTTTGTTTAGTAAACTTTCATTATTTATCATGAAACGTTAAAAAAAATGAATCTGTTCGCGAAGTTCATAGAGTGTATAGTGTTTAGTGATGAAGCTCATTTCTGATTAAATAACTATGTCAATAAGCAAAATTGACATTTATGGAGGAAAGGTAATCCTCAAGTCGCTAACGAGTCATTACATTCATAAAAATTGACTGTTTATTGCGGTTTACACGCTGGGGGCATCATCCGTCCTTATAACGTTCAAAATGATAAAGAAGCTGCGGTTACGGCGAACGCTAGCGAGCCATACTGACTGCATTTTTGTATCCAAATATAAGTCAGTTAAACTTTGACGACATTTGGTTTCAGTTTCCACAAGACTGCTCGACTTGCCATACAGCGCGTTTAACAATCAATTTATTTCGAAATCAATTTGGTGACAACTTTATTTTAAGGAGTGGTCTAGTTAATTGGCCGTGCATTGCTTCGTTCGTGCGAATTAATGTCTCTCAATTACTTTTTATAGGGCTATTCTGTCATTGGTTTATGTCGACAAACCAGCCACTTTTGAAGCATTGGAAGCCAATGTTTGTGTCGCCATTGACGCCATATGGCCATTTCTATTCCAAAAATTAGTCAACAATCGGATTGATCGAATGGACCATGTAAGTCGTAGCCACGGAGGATATATGTAATGGAAATCATATTAAAAAAATTTGTCAAAATGATCAATGGGATCTGAACATTGGTTCAGTACAGCAGAACAATCATTACTTAATATCTGTTAAGTACAATTTAGCAATAGAAATAAATTAACAAATAATTAAGATTGTACTATTCATAGCCAATAAAGGATGTTTAAAAAAAAACAAAAAAAAAATTAACTACCAGATTATAATAAAAAAAATTTCATTCCCACGATATTTCTGTCTTGTATTATCATTTTAAGTTCTCATGTAGCTAAAAAAACACCCAATAGCCGAGAACTCGGTTTCAATTATAATACTCATTTAATTTCATTTTAACATTATTTGAATCAATGCATTTTATTGAATACAAGGAGTAATTCCAACGAACGAATAATGTCAGTTTTTGGGTTTCAAAAATCTGTATGGATAAAACCACTATTGTTTAAAATGCGACTTTATTAACAGCTTCTGAAGAGAAAATGTTAAGAACTAGTCTGAATCCGGCTCGTAAACGTCAAATTGGTGTCCTATCCAGAAAATAAGCTAAAAAGATGTTAACATCAATTTTTTTTGTTTGAAATTCAGTCATATTTTTTTGACTAAATGTTTTCAGCCACTATTACTGCAGCCTTTTGTATTATTATTTATGACATATACTGCTAATTGTTGTAATAATCAGTCTTTAACTTATATTTAGCTTCCTTTACTGTAGGTTTTATAACTCCTCAAACATATTTTTCGTGCCTTATAATTTTCAGCAGACGAAAGAAAAACTACTTTAAAGAGGGAAATATTATTACGACTATTCCAATACTATTGAGATTAAAGTTCGTTGGAATAAGTTTCCTGAAACTCAAATAATACGATTATTTTAATATCGAAAAATTCGTTCTTTCATTTACCTTCCATGAATTTATGAATAAACTAGCGGCACCGCACTTTCTTAAATTAAAAATATATGTGAATATTCGTATATTATACATATATTGGTTTTATTATTATAATAGAGTCATTGTTAAATCAATCTGTGTTTTCCAGTAATCGTTTATTATAACAGATCTCATTTAAATAACAAATTTTACATTTCTTGATAAGATTTTGCTTTATATCAGTTTTCGCAATTAATTAAAGGATTTATTTTTTTAAGTCATATATAAAAGTCACATGAAAGTCATATAAAAGTCAAAGAGATTTTTCACTGAAAACAATTAATATATTATAAATAGTAAAATATAATTCTCATTAAGTATACTTATTTAAAGATTTATAAATATAAAAAAAACAAGTTGCTCAAGTATAGGCGTGTGGCCAGCAGACTTGTCTGCATTTAATTAATGAATAGACTTCCAGAGTATTTTTTTTACTAACAATATGATATCTTCTCCGCTATTGAAAAAATATATTAATGTTTATTATTGCACAGTAAAGTACCATTTAAAATTCAATAAAGTTAAGATACCAAGATTAAGATAGTTTAATTGTATCATATACAGTACTTAAGTAATACATTTGCTTAACTTCAGTTTTCTTGGTTTTGGGTGGACATTCAAACGTACATTTAAATTGTAAAATTTGCTTTTAAGATAACAATTTTGTAAAAAGTTTATACAATGTCCATTTAAAAATTCCTTATTTTTATTTACCATAATCTATTAGATCCTCAAACGTAATTGTCGTAATGTCGTTGGTCTCAAGTAAAAAAATAACCTTTTGTTATAATTTTTTAATTTTATAAGTTCTAATTATTACATCAAAGTACAAGAAAGAGATACACATTCAGAGTACAAAGTATCCGAAATTTTTATTTGAAAAAACTCTTATTAAATATAGCTAATTAGATATAGATAGTCTTAAAGAAGCACATGGGTTTTTTCTTTTGCAATTTTTAGTAAATTAGGAAGGAGATTTATACAAATATAATATATGTATATATACTTTCTCTGTAGAAAGTATATGGTATTTAAATTTTAAAAAGCGATCGTAAAAATTAACATGTTACATATCCCAAAACTACCTAACATAGCCCTGTGTAACAATTTTTTAATAGTTATAGCTATTTCGATAACTCTTGAAGCATTGGAAGCCAATGTTTATGCATCCATTGACGTCATATGGTTACATGTATTGCAAAAAATAGTCAAAATTAGACTAATCGAATGGACTATGTAACTTGTAGCCGCGGCGGATATATGCCAGATTCTAATATCTAACAGATTCTAATAAAAACAATTCATTTCAAAAATATTTCTGTCTTGTATTATCATTTTAAGTTCTTATGAGGTTAAAAAAACATCATATATTTCATTGGTGGCTTTTTAAGTTGTGTGAGCAGGTGCATTGTTTAATAGAAAATGATTTTATATCTTTGTAAATCGTTATTCATTAATTTTTGCATGGAAGTGGTCTAAAAGATGTCATAAGAACAAATGAACAGTACTGCTTACAGCTTCGTCACTGAGACCAAATATGAATCGAAATTTTTATTTATCACTTATTCTCAATCATTTAACTGACATAACTTACTTAACTTAACTGTCATATTTAAAAGCAACTATATAAAAAATAAAACAAGAATTATTTTCGGTTTTTCATCAAGATTATAAACTTTGATTTATTAAATTTTCATGTCGATTTCTAGTTCATTCATACATAAGATACTAATATACGTAAGTTGTAAATAAATAATATATTTCTTTTACTTTGTTGTTCTAAGTAGTTTTTCATATGGATAAGCTTTAAGTTTTTCCAAAAGATTATTTAATAAAATTTTAAACTCAAACTATATAACGGCATCCTCAAAAGTTATATTTATGATATATAAGAAAATAATGTGCAGACATAAACATCTTAAGATATATATGTAAACCAATTATTTAGTTATATTTATTCAAGTATAAAATTGTAAAAAAATATTTAAGATTTACCCTAAAGCTTCGATATGTCACTTAAAGTTTTCTCCTCGTCTTCTGATTGATTGATATATAAAATTTTTAAATATTTAAAAAAATTTTCTATAAATTTGTAGCTTTAAAGTAATATTACTTAAAAATACACATTAATTTTTTAATATATTTATATATTCCTTTAAATTATTTAATAATAGTTCGTTTGAGTAAGCATGCAAAATAAATTAAACAATTTTTAAATAAATAAAATATTCAAGTTTTACATCAAGATTTCGTTAAAATAGCGTTTATTCGTTAAGTTCTGTAATTCATTCAATTGTTAAGAAAAGTAACGTTTGACTACAAACTAATATTTTTGTTTAATAAACAACTTTTTTTAAATAACCATAAATATGTTTTAAATAAATTTAAACAGGGATGTCATACACATTATTGAATAAAACATTTACCATTTAAATTTGATATAAAGTGTGATATATAAAATTTTTAAATCTTTTAAAGAATTTCGCACAAAAATGCAGTCAACGAATTTGCTTGGTCGGTCTCAAAAATATGATGGTAAAATGTCGTGTTATAAGAAGACCACCAAGTAAATTGGTTAAGGCATTTTTGGGACGCATCCTTGACTTAAAATTTCAATTCACATTGCTCAATAAGTACATTGGATAATTTATAAGTTAACTGATTTCATATATCTATATATATAACATAAACGAGGAATACAAAATATGTTTTGATTTTAGGTATTTTTTTTTTTACATTTTTTATGCTAAATTCGGTTAGTACAAATGTTAGTAATTCCATTTAGAAAAACTTTCATTTTGCTTAGCTAAAATGTTAGTACTTGATTTAATCGTTATAAAAATTCTTATATGAATATTTTCAAAAAGTAATAAGTCAAAATTTCGTTTTATATTTTTTTCACATTCAATTTAAATTAAATTTATGTTGGAAGCTGTTCCATAACGCAAACTTGAGTTCACAATTCATTGTTTCATTTTCAATATTCCATTATTAATGTTCCGTGTTCAATGTTCCAAATTCGTGACTTCACATCCATTTTCCATTTAAGCGAACATATGTTGTGTACCTGGTGGCACTTTGTAGCCAGGATAGTAGCAGTTCAATGCATTCTTTTGAAAGAACGATGTGTAATCCTGTAGATTAAAAAAATAAAAATGATAGCATTAACATTTATTTAATTATTATTCTGGAAAGCGGCAAAGCGTCCTATAATCCTATAACAACACTGAATATCTGTCTGATATTCGTCTGATATGAAGATTTGTTATGTGCATTTACATCACATCTCAACGTTTATGAACGTTGAGCAGTTCATAAACTCTCAAAATGATCATATTTACTAAACTGAATGCACTGCCGATAATCTGGAACTACGAATGTTTACTCGAACTAATTTTCCATCTCAAGAAATGATGGATGTTCTCCAATTATTTTCATCGAACCTGGTGTCAAAGTCAATTAATTATTAGGAAAATGTTTTCTTCGTAGACCATAGACGTTCCTACAAGACTCATCGCGGACGCATAAAGTTCATATGAACCAAGAATAGTTAAAAAATCATGTTCTACACTTCATTTCGTCCACACAATGGTTCGCGAATTTAACCATTCCATCTGGGCCATTTTGGAAAGCAAGGTGAGGATTAAAAAATATGCCAGTATGGAAGATATCAGAGATTACATTCGTGAAGTAGACAACTAATTTTTTAACCGTTTGAAGGCCATAGTCAAGGCTAAAGGTGACTTGATCTCAATAGTTACAGACAGAAAAACAGTCCTTATTGAATATTAACTTTAAAACTATAATTTGCTTAGTATTATTAAAGTCAATTTAACCAGTGATAACTAATTTTGAATTAAACAGATGTCCAAACATATACAAAAGTTTAGGACAAAAAATTTTCAATAAAGGTGCCTGAAATTGTCTAATCTTTTAACAGCGTTTGAGAGAGATCTTTTTAATGTGAGTTTAGTAAAAGTGAAACTTTTTTGCCCTTAGGTGTTTTATACTCAAAAAAAAAAGTTAAAGAAATTCTGAGAGAAATCTTCGTTTTTGTAAGAGAAGAAACTTTTTTGACTATAATAATTTTTTATGAATTTTTGTAGAAATTAATACTTACGCGATTAATTCTCCTTGGTCTGCAAACTGGGCCAAGTGCAAGTGCACGACGTTCTTCATTTTCACGTGCTGCGGCCTCTTTGTATTCTGGTGGTGGCCATTTCAAATCTCCACGCATGTTGCTGCCTCCTACAAAATTTTGAAACTCGTTTAGTAGTATTGTGTCTTAGTTAAATAAATTAGTTATACAATATAAGTATAATACTAAAGCACTATGAAATAGCATAGATTAATCGAAAATATAGTTCATTATAGATTACCTCCAAAGCTTACGGCTGCTGGCTGTGAAGTATAAACAGGAGCAGGCACTTGTGAAACCGGTGCCTCTTTACGCAATGTTATTATGCCGGGACTGGCGCCACGATAATCTTGCGGTAATTGTTGTTGTTGTTGATAGTCTGTTTGATCCTGTGAAATTGGTTGTTGGGGCTGTGAATAAGAATTATATTGATTTGGTTGTTGATATTGTTGTGGTTGAGTTTGATAGTTTGATGGAGGCTGATATTGTTGTTGAGGTTGGTATTGAGGTTGTTGCTGTACCCAACTTGGTTGTTGTTGTTGCTGTTGTGGCAACTGCTGCTGGGGTGCTTGATATTGATTAGGTGCTTGATATTGTTGATTAGATGGTGGTTGATATTGTGGAGTTTGATACAGTGGTTGGGATTGTGGTGGTTCTTGGTAGTTATTATAGGTAGGTGCACCGTATTGTTGTTGCTGTGTGTGAGGTTTATACGACATGCATACAAAAGTTCACAGTAATGTATCAGGAACAATTCACAGTACAAATATAGACGTTTTACAAAAACAATAACATAGACAAAGAAAGTTGAAGGAAAATAGAAGAAAATAGACTTTAGATATAAATAATTGTGTATATAAATGTTTTTAAATCAAACATTTAAATTGTTTAGTGTTATTATTTTAATTATGTTGTTAGTGTTAATTTTTTATATGGCATTAGACATCGTTTGAGCGCCTTTGAGCTGCAAAATTAATAAGAAATATATGATAAGCAAATTAAAATTTGTTAAAAAGCAGAAGCATTAATATAGTAAATATATACATAGATTGATTAGATGATATAAATAAAAATGACAGAACTGTACACAGGTTAGTTGCTATATTACAAAAAAAAAAAAATGATACATATTCACTATTACAAATATCCGTTTTGAACAAAATAAATATAATTTGATCAAGAATGCCGGCAGTAGAGTGACATTGTCTAGCTTATTTGGTTCACAAAAAGCTCAAAACATCGTGAACGAAGGTTTATAACTAATACATTTACAGTGGTTGCTAACAAATTTAAACCTATTAAAAGCTTTCCGATAGATTCATTCAAAATGCTTAAAAACTAAAAGCTTTGCTTTGCTGTGCATTCCAAAAGCTGACACAAGCTTTGCCAGTACCTGTGCTGGTTGTTGTTGCGCCGGTGGTTGATAAGTGGGGAAGTTTGGTTCAGAACCTACGGGACATTGAAATTGATGTTGTACTTTTGGCGATGGTGGTTGTATATGCTTCCAACCAGAAGGAGAACTAGGGTCCTGTACGTTATGATAGGGTATGTTATTTTGTTGTTGGTGTGGTTGTTGCTCTTGTGGTTGTAGTGTCGGTGGTGCTACAGGTTCCCGTGATGGTTGACGATTGAATTGTGCTTGACTATATTGAATTGGTTGTTGTGCAGCAGGTTGTTGATATTGTTGTTGGGGTGGTGGTTGATATTGTTGTTGGGGTTGTTGGTATTGTTGTTGGGGTGGTTGATATTGTTGTTGGGGTGGTTGATATTGTTGTTGGGGTGGTTGATATTGTTGTTGGGGTGGTGGTTGATATTGTTGTTGGGGTGGTTGATATTGTTGTTGCTGCTGTTGCTGATTGTATTGTGGCTGCTGGTTTTGTTGTGGATTTTGTTGATATTTAGTAGGATATGGGGAACTTTGACGTGCAGCTGGTTGAACGTTATTATAAATGGGACCCTGTAAAATGATTGGGGACGTAATGCATAAAAGGGTTTGTTATTTTTTCGACGGTTTCGTATTTTGCTTTTTTGTTATGTAATATATTGGTAATTTAAATTAAAAGTAATTAAAAAAGTATTTATGTGTGGAAGTAAATATTAAAAAATAAAGAATCCACATGCAAATATAAATATATCACATATAGTATTATATGATAAGAATTTTTAATAACACTTAGGGCCACGGCAATTTTACGTTTTTTTTGGATATGACCGAAAAAATCAAAATAAACAATAGCAAAAGTGCCAAAGTGATTAACAGCAATAAAATAAGTGGAAAAAAATAAAAAGAAGAAATATGTCAAGGGAATGTTATACAGACAGCATGTGACGAATGATCACGGCAATTTTACCCTTTTTTGGTCATGACCAAAAGTCATGTTATACAAAGAATCATATCACAATTGTTAATTTCTTACTTATACTATTTTTTTGGTACGTTTTTCTGTGCTTATATTTATAAAATTTTAGTGTGAATATGCTTACGTATTGATAGCAAAATACACATAATTATTCTTAAAAGGCTGGAATTCTGACATTTATAACAGAACAACATTGTCTTGACCAATAAAAACAACATTTTCAAATTTGACGTGACCATGACCATATATAATATGGTTCTTACTGAAAGACTATGCCAATGTTTTATTGAATTTTAACGAAAAATTGGTTTTATTTCAATATTAATCATATTTGTTTTATATTTTTTTTAATACATGTATATATTACACTATATATATGTGAATTTTTATTTATGTATTTTCAAGTGTTTAATGTTATAATTAAAGTTGTCGGAATTTATAAAAATGTTTTTATTTTAGTTCGCCCTAAAATTATTAGTATACACAAACAACAATAAATTACAAATTTTAGACCGATAGGGTAATATTTAAAAGTCACTCATGGAGCTAAAGAAACTAACTGTTTTTTTTTTCATTTTTCAAATTTGTGTAATCTCAACGCCCGTGTTATGGACCAACAACTCAATCAAATTATTACTACAGAAACCACAGAAATATAAACCTAAATTTGTAAATTTTGCTTGCAATCAGTTTTGCGAGATCCAGACAAATAGGTTTTCAGATGAAACCAACAGTTTAAGGTATTAAATCACTAAATCACTAATTTAAAAATTTATGTCTTGATTTACAGAAGATTTCGTAGTTTTTCCTGTGTCAAAAATTTTGCTTAATCTTTTAATGTTGTAAAGTATTGTGTACTCTTTAGTTAACTTTCTCACTAATATCTTAAATTTAATATCAGATTTGTTATTTGTCTTCAATTGTCATATTTACATGAATATTAATATTTTAACATAATTCTGAATAATATTCACTTTATTGCAAAGAACAATGGCATTCATTTCAGTGAACAATTATTTATCCTTTTTTTTTGTTATAAAATTAAAAAGTATTTTTTATATATATAGAGAAATATATATTTCAATATTTGAAATAAGAGTTCATAAAAAATGAATTTTTGATATAAAGCCTGTTTGATGTCATAAAAAACTAACCGCATACATTTTTTCTCATTTGAGAAATATAAATTCTGTGCAATCCATCCGTTGTCGAGGATTTACATTAAATTAAAGTTAAGCCACGTAGCTTAATTGCGAACGATTAAAATAAAATTGTTGAAAATGTTTTTCAAATATATATATATATATATATATAATATTTATATTTTGCCTTTTGATTTTCGCTATATAAATATATTTGTTAAATTTATACATACATACCTCTTAAACAGAGGTCAAACGGAACGAACTACTCATGGAAAAGAAATTAAATTTAAATATGATTTTAGAGCCACAAAATATATTAAATTAATTACAACTGTATAAGGACAAAAAATACCAAAAAAAATGTGTAATTTATGAATATTTTGCTTATATTTAATATATATGTTTAATTTTTAAAACATTAAAAAAAAGTGAACTTAACCTTAAGCAATGTTTAAATGACCTTCAGTCAGATAGTTATATTACAAATCTTTCATATATATTCCCCATTTACTTAATAAATGGTATATAAATATAGATAATACTTTTTATCTATATTTATTTAATTTTGGTTCTCCATGTACAATTATATGTATAGTAGCCAATTTAAAAACATAATCCAATATTCAGGTGTAATATTATGTGAGAACTGTATTACAAAGAAATAAACTGCCTGCAATTGTCGATTTTATTAAACTAAACTGAAAAACTTCATATACAGGTTAGTTTAAAAATTAATATACTAGTTGCTTTATTGACGGTTTGACAGACAAAAAGACGGATAGATAGAATAACAGATATATAGACAGACAGTTCACTAAACAGATAGACATAACTAAATCGGTATCTAAGTTATGACATTATACTCTACTATCCAAAAGCTACAAGTTGCTCAAAATCAGGCAATCCGAAGGTTTTTCAAAGTGCCATGATACATCAGCACGAATGACATACTAAGAGACCTTAGAATAGATCCGGTCAAAAAATACATAAGGGACAGAACTTTGAAGCTATATGCGAAAACCAACAGGATGCCCTACTTAGCACTATCTAATCTCAGAGTAATTACTAACCGCACGGGGCGGTACGCAGATCTTAGATCAATCATTGTATAATCACGATGATTATGAGGAATACACAAATTAATCAGTGAGATGGATAGGACTCTGCAGAAACCCCCTAGCCATCATAGAGTAAAAGTGTCCAGATGGCACTAACTCGAAAATTTTCTTGCCAACATTTATTAGAGTCCATGCCTTGTCTATTTATTTACGACTGCTTGTTTTCATTTCTTGTTTAGATTTTCTATTTAATCATATTTTAATTTGAGTATTATTAAATGAAAAAAGTTTCATGAAGCTAAGTTGACCCATTTTAATTATTTAAAAACCAAAATGTCCTCATTTTCACCCATGTATTAGTTGTCATAATGAGTATTTATTTACTTTATATTTTTTCCAATATCATCAATGAGTTTAGCTTTAAGTACATTGTGGTGCCTTTCCCCAAAAAAATTATTCTCAATTCGATTTAATAAATTACATTCCAAATTAGCTTCAGTCATAATATTATTTTGCAAATACGATAAATGTTTTTACATTAATTTAATTTTTATGTCGACTATAAAAAAACGGCAATTGTGACAAATTTTATACTTTTTAACCTCTGCGCCTACTGCGCCACTTCCAACAATAAACTTAAACAGCCGCACTAGCAATTGTTGTTAAAATTAACTTAATTTGCAATCGCGTGTGGCATGAAACAATAAAGAGACTAACTCCCTACAACAAAGAGTCAAAAAAAAAAAAAATAAAAAAAAATTGAGAAAAAATTGCGCTAAAAAATTGAAGAAATTATGTGAAAACAAGCAACATTTACACAAAAACCAAAAAATCAAAAAAAAAAAAAAAAAAACACACCAAAGTAAAATTTTGGGGTAAAAAATATATAACAAAATTTAGCCCAATTTACTAAGCCCCGAAAACAATAAGCAACACGCTCTTCGCCTTCGCCGTATGTGAATGCAGGCGCGTTTGTTTTTGCCATAAAAATGATAGCAGCAAACCAAAATGTTAGGCTCGGAAAAGCCTTGTGAAAATTGTGAAAATTTTCTACTTTATTGGTTTCATGAAGTTATAAAATTTAAAAGATAAGCCAAATGCAAATTACTTGTTTGCATTGAGTGCGATAGGCGGTATTCTCGATGCTTTAATATTTTATAAACATTTTAACTCTTTGCTGTGGTCTGGAAGATTGCCTACAAATTGCTTAGTTGAAAAAATCATTTAATCAATATGTGGTATGTTTCATATGAATTTCTGTGTTTTATTAAATTTTTAACAATAATTTCAATATATTCGTATGTTCTTATTCTGCTTAATATTAAAATTTCTATTAATATTTGCTTGTAATACGCAGAGCGAAAAAGCGTGGTGTGTTATTTCGTTGGGAGCAATAATATAATATGGGAGCATGTCACATCAAAAACAAAAAAATAACTGCTCAACATATACTCCCAAATTTCCAAAGACTTGAAAAAGAACTACAAGAATTTAGTATAATACCACCACCGAAAGAAGTTGGAGGGAAGTGAAAGCACCGAAGTTAAATCCTGAGAGCAAAAAGGTTTTATGCAGGACTATTATGATCTAATAGGAAAATTGTTACATATGTTTCTTAATTTACTCATTGAAAAAATTGTATTTATTAAATATTGATTCAGTATTACATATTATCCTTTTATACTACAATTCTTCCAATTATTTATTGCGATTTACTTTAACGCAGAGGTCATTATAAATAAATATGAAAAAAAAATGCAGGATTATTACATAGTTAATGCCCCTTTAAAGTATTAGTACAGTTCGAGTATATTCGAATTCGAACATTTAAATAGAATACTTCAAATTTTCGTAAATGCTCTACATCCGATATTCGAGTAATTTTAACAGCTAATTTGCCTTATGTATACCTTACATATATTCGTTTTAATTTATATAAATAAACATAACACAGCAAATATTTAAATACCACGGTATATGGTGTAAAGAAATATGTCAATAAGTTGCTTTAATCAAAGACGACATTCTGTTACCTTAGACAGATCCACCGAGTAGGAATAGGGGAAGATGTTCTTACCCTTAGTCAGCAACTGAAGCTCTGCCTTACTAAATTAAGTTAATTGTGAAATTAAGTCTAAAATAAAAGGTCATGATGAGGTCTCAATGTTTATAACTGCATTTCCTCAAATTCCCAAGTTAAGCAATAAAAAAACACATAACAGATAAATTTAAACTAATTTCCTATTCGTTATAATATGAGAATATATGAAACTGCGAGTTTGAAACTAGGGAATTCAATTAAAATCCATTTGCTTCGGTAGATGATTCTTTAGTGATATAGCTTAAAAAATATCATGAATTTGTAAATTTTAGACAAGCATTATTTGTGCTTTT